CTGAATCATCGTCCCTGACTCTCACCGTGGTGCGTTGGAGGAGGGAGCAGGAGTGAGGCGGGTAGTGGAAGAGAAGGTAGACACTAATGCTATCAGAACAACCCCCTTCAACCGTGTTATTATTTCCCCAGTTTAAAAAAAAATCACGTTTTTCAAAACTGCCATTTCACTGAAGATTTTGTTTTGTTCTGTTTGTTTAGTGCCTTATTTTCAAAACCTTCGAGTGAAACAAAGTTCAGTGGGCATCACTTGGCTTCTCCAGAATTTTCCTTGCCAAGGTCCTCCGTTGGCACCATTTTGTCTCTTTTCCTTTTTGTGTCTGTCCCTCAGAAACTGTGGACGCAAGGGAGAGCGCCAAACGCCTGGCGTGGGCGTGAGCTATTTGGGAAAATGCGTCCTAATTGATCTTTTATGTGTCATTTTAATTCAGCCTTGTTCAGACCCATTATTTTAACTATAACCACTTCAGGTTGCTTTCTTCCCCCGTTTTTTTTTTTTTTTTAAAAAAAAAACGTCTGCAGAAATGCTCTGCGCTGCCCAGCTGAGGCGGAAACCAACAAATAGACGTTATTATAGAAAAACGAGGGCTCTCAGAAATGAGCAAGATAACTCTGTAACTAATAAATGAAAAGGGCCTTTTGATGGCTCCAGCTGAAAAGATATTTTATTTTATTTTTTTTTCCTGTGTGTGGGATTTGAGATGTGTGATTGTAAGGAGAAGTGGGGTCCCCTGCTGCTCGGCCCTGGCTGGCAACCGGCCCCCCTCTGGCAAATGTTACGGAGAATTGGGAGGAATTTTATGGCTGTCTTTCCCCTCAGCTCTTTTTTCCTTTGTCTTCTTTGAAGAATGACTTTAGACATTTTATTTACATATTTAACCATGGATGAAAGAGGCAAAAGAAAGCATTTGGGGCTGTCGTGGGAATAGTGATATGTTTAAATTAATGGAAATCTTATTAGGCCTCTAAAATTTTGAGCAAAGGTTTTTAATGAAACTTTATAATTAAACATGATTTCAAATAACATGCAGGGATAAGGAATACTATATATATACATTTTTTTACCCCAACCACCCCCCCAAAAAAAAATATATATATATATATACACACCTCAGAGAACTACTCTTAAACACAAACTACTTCTTCAAGTTCTTGCAAATGTTCAGCCAGAAAAGTAGAGCGTTTTTAAGAGGGACTCTCCCTGAAGTCAGCCCATATGTTGAAGGATACCTCAATATTTTTGGACGGTGGGGAATTTGAGGAGTAGAAGTGTCCTCCCAGTCTACCAAAGGCCAAAGTATAAAATACTTGGATACAGATATTGCTAAAAATCAAAGTTGTATCTCTCCTTATTATGTTATAGTCAGCGGAAATTAGAAAGCACTGCGCGTGGCTCTCTGAAACGAGATTAGAGAAAACCCACATAATCTCTTTAAGATAAAAGTACTGACACTTTGAGCAGGAGAAAGAAATTAAAGCATAGACTTTGCACGTTACAGGCTAATTGCAAGAGTGAAGCTGTACAGTATTAGCGAAGCTCACGGAAAGAAAGAGGGTAGTATTAGGGGGCAAGTTTCAGATAAAACGGGGCTCAGGGTCTCCCAGTTGCTTGTGGAGGGCTCTGGCTTGGATGATGTGTGACATTCAGGTTTGGTGATCGGGTGAAATGGGTGTGTGTGTCTGTGTCTGTGCTCTTTTATCTTCCAATGTCATTAATATGTGTATTTCATCGGGAACTTTTCCAGTCCTGCTTTCAAGTAAGAGGAAGACGCCGTCCATTTGCTGATAATTGCCTGACACGCAGAGGGGTCTCCGATACCAAAAGGCACTATTGCCGTGACCTCAACTTATTATCAGATTTAAAAAAAAAAAAAAAGGCAGGCAGGGAAAATTCTATTTCTAACCAAGCAGGAGCGCAGTTCTCCTGGCCCCCCGGTTTTTCTCCAAGGAAAACACCTTCCGTCCTCTGAAGGGATCCTCACTAAGGCAAACACACGGTCTTTGCCACCGGGGGACGAACGCAGCCCACACAACAGGCACAAAAGTTGGAAGGACACGCAAAAACACTCCTCTGTACAAAGGCTGCTGGTTTGGGCGGGAGGGGAGCGCAGCCCAGAAAAGCGCGCATGTCCTCAAATGGGAGACTGGCATGGGGTGTGTTTGCTGCGACCCAACTCAGGCCCTTATATTAAGGCCATGTCCCCTGAAATGTGGCTTGAAATATTACCAGAGGTTCCACGGGGTGCATTAGTGTGAATTGCAAATCAGAGCCTGCCTCTAATCCCCCTTTCAAGGGCCAGCTTTGGATCACTGGCGTCTATGGGGCTCCCCACTGTTTCTGGCTCGGGAGGGACCATTCAAGGAGGCAGCTTCTCTCCGCTATTCCCACACTCCAAAAAACAACACCGCAGACAGACACCCTCCAACTAAATTAGATTAAACTCCTTGTTCTCCACAGCACATTAGCCTTTTTACTGCCCGAAGGTGATTATCCGAAGCCTCCTAATTTAAAGGTACAGTATTTCTTTTTTCTACACGACAGCAACAACAGCAAATGTCCTGAAAAAGGGGGACAACGCTGGCCTTCGTGTAAGTGCTTCCAAATTACAAGGATATTATCTGTTTAAAATATAGGAGAGGCTTAGCATATGCCGGCGCTAAAGCACAAACAAATTGACCCGGACCCTCGAAAAAGGACTTAAATCTATTATTCTTGTAAAGGATCTCTTTCTTTCTTTCTTTCTTTCTTTCTTTCTTTCTTTCTTTCTTTCTTTCTT